CAGTTTCCCCCTGTATCTAGGAATGTGGAAGGCTGGTTATATATGTCACAGGTCATGAGCTCCTAGTAATGAATAAGAAAAAAATCCTGTTTATCAATTCCAGAGTCAGTCTCAATGTCACAGCAGAAAATCACATCAACTACCTGCCACACAACGTTGCTGCAGAAAATCCATCTATATAAATACCTCAGTCCATTCAGGTTCTTTTCCCAATTTAGGTCTAGATGACTGCACAGGATAGAGATTTTTACCTTTATCCATTTGTACTTTCATCTAAAACATGTTCACTTCATTTTCATAATACCATGTATTTAGGTTCTCAAAATTTTAACTTCTTATCCAAAGAGGATCTCTTTAATATTAAATATTTTACCTTGTTCAATTACTGGAAATTTATATATTTATTACTTAGCTTGGGCTGAATTTTTTCTCAACTGTGAAATGATCCACCAGGCAATCATATTACTAATATGCAAAAAGTTCTATTTCAATTACCAAAGCAAATGCAACCTATGATTATTAAGAAAACTGCTTTGCATATCAGTCATTGTTTATTTCTGAACACAATCAAGTACCACAGGCTAGATTAAACGCTTAAGGATACGGATTTTTTTTCTGTGTGATTTACAATATAAAAGTAATCAAACCTTCCCACCAATCTAGGTGAGTGGGAAATGTAATTACTAGTAGTTATCATTAAAACAAAGACATGGCAACTTCCCGTACACAGAATTGAATATTCCAGAAGTAAATTTCTGAGGAGTTCTCAGGAAAAAAAATATATTTTTAAATTAATGTTAACCTGGTTATTTCGCTTGTTGTGTCTCGGTTGCTAACACAGAATAAGCAACACATTTGAGGGATATACTTAAACAGCAGCAAGTAAAAGGCTATTCTCAGGAAAATCACAGAACTTTGAGCTTAAGGCTGAATAATTTATTACAGTTTCAATCTTTATGCAAACACAACCAAACTTAATCCTCTGAAGCTGTTCCTCCATGAGAGGTTTCACCCCAATTGGATCCCCTCTCCAAATGCTGAATCCTACAGAAATCAACTGCTCCTATTCTAGGGCTCCATTGCCCTAGACAAACCTGAGGGTTTTCAAAACTGATCCATCAAAGCCACTGCTACAAACCAAAAGCAGTAGTAACAGGCAACCACTGTGTGTCATTATGTTGATGGGCTAATAGGTATGAGGGTTCAGAGAACAGCACCCCGGGCGGCACAGGATTAGGAACTTCAAGCAAGGGGAAAGAAGGGCATGAAGTTCCCCATCTCAGGCTTTTCCTTCTATGGGCATTTTTTATTTTTGGCAGTTATGGGGCTTGAACTCTGGGCCTAGGTGCTATCCCTCAGCTCTTCAGCTCAAGGCAATCACTCTACCACTTAAGCCACAATGCCACTTCAGTTTTCTGGTGATTAATTGGAGATAAGAGTCTCATGGACTTTCCTGCCTGGGCTGGCTTTGAACCACAGTCCTCAGATCTCAGCCTCCTGAGTAGCTAGGATTACAGGTGTGAGCCACCTGTGCCCCGCAACTATTGTATTCTTAATATCCTACTTCTGGAAGCTGAGGGATGGTTCTGAGTTCTGAGCCTCATGCTTGTTAGGCAGGTGCTTACTGCTTGAGCCCTATCCCCACTCCATTCTGTTTTGATTATTTTTTTAGGTATTTTCTCATATTTCTACCCAGGACAACAGAGACTGTGATCCTCCTAGAGCCTCCTATTGTAGCTGGAACCACAGGCACATGCCCCTATACCCACTTATTAGTTGAGAGAGGGTCTACCTACCTTTTTTGCTTAGACTGGCCTCAAATTGTGGTTTTCCACATTTCTGCATTCCTAGTAGCTGGGCCTAGAGCCCTTACCAGCTTCTCAGTTTTTTAAAGGCCCAATTCATGTCATCTCCCACTGTCTATTCCAAACTGAAGTAATTGCTCCATTTCCCCTATATATTCTTCCACACAGTTCATTTGATTAAGCTGGCATTCAGGATGTTTTGTGCTTGCCCATATCTGCCACTACTTGTGGGTTTGCCATTTGCCTTCCCAGTCCAAATACTCAGAACCATATCTGCAACCTGGAACCTATTCAATAAATGCTTGTTTAATAAAGGCCCAAACTCAGGATCAAATTCAGCAAGTGATGGAGGAAGCTTTTATGCGTGTTGGACTTATTTCTGCGCTTAGAGATTGAACCAATAAGCAGGTTCTTCACCCCTTAAAGATGAAAGGTTATCTTGCACCAAGCCCTTATAAACTACCAGCCCATGCTAAATATTCTAGACCATTATATCACTGAGTCCACGCAATGAAAAGAATCCCATGAAGTGCTCTTACTATTAGCATTCCGTATTCACAGATGGGAAAATTAAGGCTCAAGAAATTAAGTAATTCACCCCAAGATATCCAGCTGTTAAGGGTGGAGCTAGAACTCAAATACAGTGATCTCAGAACTTCAGAGTTAGAAGGAATCCTAGAATTACCTTTCTCACTTAACTTTTTTGAAGATGAGACTTGTAACTCAGCCTGATACATAGTAAATCCTTGAAAATGATGATTAATGAGTTGATGGAGTCCCTTTGCTCGCTCTTTCTTTCTTTCTTTCTTTCTTTCTTTCTTTCTTTCTTTCTTTCTTTCTTTCTTTTTCTTTCTTTTTTGATCCAAGACTGGAACTTGAACTTGGTACCTGACATTTTTACTCATTGGCTAATGCTCTACCAACTGAGCCATGACTCCAACCCAAATGATCCCTTAATTTCTCAGATTCTGGCCTTTGCTTGAGAGAACCCAGCTGCCACAAAAGAAAAAAAAAAAAAAAGAAAGATACAGGCTCTATTCTTGCCTGCCCAACACCTCTCACAGGTGTGAATTGCTTGTATCATCTGAATTATTCATGACCCACACAATCACACAATAAGTGTGGTTACAAAGAAGCACAATTCCATCTTTTTCAAGACAAAGTACTGGATTAATTGGTTGACTAGGCAATACAAGCTCACAGGTCAGGTTGATTCACAAGAAATAATACATCTGGGCCCATGTTCTGAATTTCAGCTTTTCGTGCAATTTCCCTGCTCCCCATAGGATTAAAAACCCAGCAGTACTTACAGCAGGAAAGAGAATCATCATAAGTATCCTTTCCTTACTTGCAAAGCAACTGCCAACCTCTGAACCTTGTACTGTGTTGCTGTAAACCAATGTATTTTTCCCAAAACTGAATTAGGATTCTCAATGACATTTCTTAAGCCTTATCAACATCTGAAAATTCTCATGCCACGGTATCTGTCATTTATGCCACCAGTAAATCACATGAGAGTTTTGTTTCCTTGTCCTTTCTCCAAATTCTTCTTTCCCTTTGCCACCTCTTCCCCCACCCCACCAGTTCATTGAGTAGGCAATTTTCTGAGATGGATAAGCATATGCCCATGTATTTTAAATTCAATGTTAGTCAACCAAAATGAATTGAAAAGCAGCAGCAGCAGTGGTTTGAGGGTACTAAAAATAAGCTGTAGCATTTGCTGAGTTCTCAGAATTAAAACCACCAGCGGTCAACTTGTTGCTGCTCTTAATAAGATGTGAGTGTTCGGGCCCCAATGGCTGCTTTGACCAGCAACTTAAACTATATCGAACACCTAACCAACACCTTTTTATATTATTATTAGACGGCAGTGACCAAAAACAGAAGCGTTATTTCCCTGGAACTAAACCCTGCCAGAAAAGATAGCACATGGCTTTCAAGTAGCCACCTTGTGACACCTAACTATCTCACCTTAGTCAAATTCAACTTGCGTGTATAATTTAATTAGTCACACATCATAGATGGTGGCTCCCTTTAAGTCTTGTTTGCAGTCTCATGTCACGCAAATGCTATTTCTTCCTTGAAGTTTAATGTTTAGAGAATAATAAAATATACAATAGGACATAATACAATACTCATATACTGAGCGTTTCTATTAGGACTTCAAGTCCTTTCCTGACCCTTGAATACCATATACTACACTAAAATGTCTTATCTGCTACCCCTGCAGGGTTTGCCATTAAAGTTTTCAATGACCAGAGAGGTAGGGGAATTCTGCCTAATGCATCATTCTGATTAGAAACCTGTCATACTCAGAAACCGGTGGGGCTGCTTCTATTGATTCCTACTCCTTCGGATTCATTATCAATTTTCCCCCTCAAATTAGACTGGCTCCCCAACCATAGAAAAGCTGAAAGCAGCCTTCCTTTGGTTCAGCCACACTTAAAAGGGAAAACAAATGCATGCCTTGAAAGTAAAATTACAGAGTATTGTAAGGAAATGTCTAAAGAGCCACGTAGGAAAACCTCACACACAGATACGCGCGCACGCACGCGCGCGCACACACACACACAAGCACACACACACACACACACACTTGTAAACGTGCAAGAGTCAAAGCCTAGGCTCGACCTCCCTTCTCCTAACCCACTTCAATCGGGACCAGAAGGGCAGGCGCAATCTTATTATTGCTATCTGAAACCCATGCCCCGAGCGAGTGTCTCCACAGAGCTAATTTCTGAAACAAACAAAGAAAACCAAGTCTGCAAGAAGCTAGGGTTTGCGTTCCCTCGGCTCTGGGTTTAGGGATCCAGGGTAACAGGCGTGCGGCACCACCGAATTTCGGGGCGCCCAGTGTTGCCCTGACCTTCCTCCCCCGGCCGGGCTCAGCGCCAGCTGAGCCTGAAGTGCAAGCCCCCCTCGCTCACCCCGCTCACCCCGCTGCGCCCCAAGCCCCAGAACCCCCACGTCTGCACACCAAGGGCGCCACCGCTCTCCCACCTCTGCGCTGTCAGATGTCAGGCGCGGAGGTGCTGCGGACCCCCCAAGTGCTGGCAAACCAAACAAGTGTCACACCGGACGCCGGCCCCCGCTCCCAGCCAGCGTACGGGATGGCCACAGGTAGGCTCTCTCTCTCCATCCCGGAGAGCCAGACCCGGGCAGCAGCCCCGGCGCCCGACGGGCTGGAAAACTCACCAGAGGACACGGAGGAGCCGGACAGGCTGGAGTTGCTGGACGCTGCCATCTCCGTGCGCCCCGCGCGTCGCTGATCGCTCAGCCTCGGTGCGGGCGCCGCGGTCCCTGCCCTCGCCCCGCAGCTCGCAGCCTCCGCGGCCCCCAGCCCATGGCAAAGTCCTGGGGACGCGCCGAAAGCACCAGCCTCCCGGACTCTGCCTGCACTTCCTGCTCCGCCAGATGACGCGCTACAGCCGCCGCTATTTATTTGTGGTTTCCGTCCCTCTCCGCGCCTTTACCCGCTTTTCTCCCGGTGTCGCGGGGTAGCTGGGGAGCCCTGGGGGGAGGGGGGCTCCGGAGCTGCGGGATGGTGGCTCCGAGCCAGGTCCCACTGCCCTGCGCGCTTTCCAGTGCGCGGCTGGGACCCAGGGCGCCCGGGCGACCCTGCGCCGCCCCCACCAGGCTCCCCGCACCCTCCCCTGGGTTCCCGCCTCCTCGGCCGCACTTGGAGCCGCGGGGGCAAAGGCGGCCGGAGACAGACAGACAGAGCGACCTCCCCCTTCTCTTCCCCCCCCCCCCCCCCGCGCCACTCCGCCCCAACTCCGCTCCCGCGCACACAAAGGAAGGAGAGGAGACGCGGGCGATTCGGGGGCTGGTTCAGCTGCCGCGGGCTTGACAGCTCCTGAGACCCGGGGACTGGAGGGGGGTGGCTACCGACTGCTGGGCGAGGATAGTCTGGCCGGGGAAAGGGTTTCCAGATACTAGAAAGACCACTGGGGAGTGGGGGGGGGGGGGGGGTGTCGAGGAACCAAGCTTAGTTCTCAGGATCCAAAGCTGCTCCCAAATTTTACAGAGGATGGAGAGGGTTGGGGTGGGGGGAGCGGGTAGGGGAGACAGAGGCACGGGCCGCGCCCCACTGGGCTCTGGAGCAGAGAAACAGCAGGGGTGGGGCATCCGGAGAGCAAAGACTAGGCCACTAAATATACAGTACACAGTGCTAGGGAAAATGGGGTCCTGCAGGCCAGGGAGGCTGAGGAGTGCCCCCTTTTACTCCCCTCCAAATTGTCCTTTGTTGCTGGAGAGCAAGCTGCTGACCCCTGTCCCACACAAGGTGGAAGGAAATCGAGCTAAGCTTAAGTACCTCAGCCATGGACAGTGCTCAGCAACTCCCCTGGGCTTCTGAGGCCGGCCTTCAAAGAAATAGAGATGTTCCAAAGGTGGCATCTGGCCTGCACAAAGCAGCGTGTCAGAGGAAGGTTCTTCTTTGCCTAGGCCTTGCAAGAGCCTCACAAAAGGCAGAAGACTTGGCAGCAGGTCCTGCTGTTCACCTTTCAGCTTAAGAAACCTCTCAGGTGTGGGAGAAAAAGTGATTGGAAGTACAAGGTGTGGACCTTCCTCCTGTACTTAAACCTAAATTAATTTCACTGGAAGGAAATATCATGTAGGTATGTTTTTTTAAGTCAGTTTCACGCTCCCAGCGGGGTAATCGGTTCTTTCAATCCTTGAAGCAACAGAAAACTGTGAAATTTGAACAGAAATTGTTAGATCAAAGGAAAAAGCAAACATTAAAGGGATGAAAGTACTCTCATTACATATCGCAAAATGGAAAGTGTTCACATTGGGGGTAGTTCAATTTTGAAAAACATGTTAAAAGGATATAGTCCATTAAAAAATTATCAGGAATGACACAGGAGTTGCAGCAGGTCTGGAGGTGTGGGGGTGGGGGGCGGGGCTCCACATCCGTCAAGCACCTAACACAGAGTGAATAATAAATGCTAAATAATCACAATATGCACTCATGTCACATTTTCTAGTTGATTTAAACTGTTGTGTGTGTTTTCTTAGAATTCTCTCCAGGATGCCAGCCCAGTGTGACTTCCCCATAAGGCCATGTTTTTTTTTTTTCTTTTTAAATAATATGGCTTGCTAAAGATTTAAAAGCTTGTGACCACTCTTAAGTCACACTAGATATGTCTTCCTGGCTCTCATTTGTTTCGGCCTCAAACCAGCCCTGTCTGGTACAAGAAGATCCAGCACACACAATGTCCTCCACTCCCACCCATTATTCTTTTGTGTTTGCAAGGCAGCCTGAACACAGCCTCAACTGAGACCCTTCAGGGACAGGTACCCATCATGCCCTTGACCACCTCTCTGTCAGGATGGAACTTCCTTTCCCCCAAAGTCCTTTTGGTGGAAGGCAGCATTTTCCTTGTCTGATTAGTAATCTGTGTATTCCTCCAGTAGTGTCAACTAACAAAATTGTGATGGGATGGGACCAGACAGGCTTTGCAGAAGATAACACCTGATTCCTCCTCTGGTCTTGTTACTTGTTAGCTATGAGACCTTGAACAAATAAGACTCCCCGAGCCTCAGTTTCTCCAACTGCAACAGAAGTACGGAAAATGTAGATTAAACGTGATAATGCATGCGTGGCCACAGTGTAACTGGAAGAAATCATTTGTATTCCACAAATGATTGTAAGTTGTTCTCTTGATTGATGGAAGCTAAAGTTTGAACAATTTTATTTCCTTCTCTGTGCCTGAAGATAACTAATCACAGTGACTTCTTCTACAAGAAAGACTTCCTCTTTAACCCAAAGTTTTTAAGTTTTGTCTTAAATTGAACCGTAGGGGATAGATTTAATTGTTTACTTCTGAAGTCTTGCAGAAAAATATCAGCCCTGTTTTCTGCAGTTTGGATAACCGTATTGAAACTAAAATAGAAATGGATTGTTTTTAAAGATCCCCAATTGATAGATGAAGGGACAGAGGGACAACTTGTTATGAAAGCATCAATTCCACACCACCCTGTATTGTACAACAGTAGGGAAAGATGGAGATGCATACAGCAAGGCCCAGCCTGTAGGAAGAGATGACAGATGGTCACACAGAAGCCCATTATTTAGAAGAACAACATAAAGTTCCAGATTCTGAACTGAACTTTGAAAGTTGATGGATCATGTGGATTTGTTAAAGCATTACCAATGGAGAAAACTCTGCAGGCATAGTTGTTCACAATCATCTTTCTTCCATTCAGAATCCTAGGGATTCACAATTCCTCACAAAATATTTCTAGGTCATAAATGATCAGGCAGGGGCTGAAACAAAATGCTAACCCACTACTGTAGGCTGAGGAACCTGCTGGTGGACCTTCTGAAGTATTCCTTCACATATAATAATAATATTAATTCATTTCTTTTATTAATTCCTGTGGGGTTTATTTTATTCTCTGTTGTGGGGTTTTGTTGTTGTTTTGTTTTGTTTTTATGGGTGTGCTGGTACTGGTGCTTAATTCGGGGCCTGAGCATTCTTCCTTAGCTTTTTTGCTCAAGATTTGCACTGCACTACTTGATCCATAGCTCCATAGTTTTGGGTAGTTATTTAGAGACAAACGTCTCAAGGATTTTTCTGACCAGGCTGTCGTTGAACCAAGATCCTCAGATCTCAGCCTCCTGAGTAGCTAAGATTACAGGTGTGATCCACCAATGCCCAGTTTAAACTAAGCTTTTTTTTTTTCCTTTTGCCCTGAGCTTCTTAAAATTGGAAGCACTGATCTCTGCCTGGACCTTTCCTGCTGCTCATCCTATCTGTGGCATCTAAGAAAGGCCTTTTTCTGGTGAAACTTCTTGGAGTCCAAGGCAGAGGACTGCTAGCTTTCCAAGAAATAACTCCAGTTCTTCTGATCCCCATTGGTAGATCTCTGCTTTGTCTTTTTTTGTTGTCTTCCACTTCTGTGCAGTCTTGTGGCTTGACTCCAGGGCCTGGGTAGTATCCCTATACCACAACTCCACTCCCAAATATTTTGTGTGTGGATAACTGGACTCTTGGATGAGTCTCCTATCCAGGCTGGCTTCAAACCACGATCCTCAGATTTCAGCTTCCCAAGTACCTAGGAATACAGGAGCTCGAGTGCCCAGCTTGTTCTTTCTTATTTTAATGATAATTTTGCTGCCCATTTTATCCCTGGGAGTTCAGCCCTTTTTCTCTATCATGCTCTGTACACAATAGGCCATCAGTAGATATTTGCTGAATAAATGTTCTAAGGAACTAATGACTTCCTAAATGATTTTCACATATGCCCATTTTTTTACACTCCAATAGGTGTGACCAATGAGCAACAAGACTAGCAACATGAGATACACAGCATAAAAGGAAGTTGATGGTATCTTGGCTCACACTATTAATTCTAGCTACATAGGAGGTTGAGATCTGTGTTCAAAGCCAAACTGGGCAGGAAAGTCCCTGAACTCTTGTCTTTAATTAATCACCCAAAAGCTGAAAGCTGTGGTCCAAGTGGTAGAGTGCCAACCTTGAGTAAAAAAGCCAAGTGAGAGTGTGAGGTCCTGAGTTCAAATCACAGTACTGGAACCAATAAATAAAATAAATAAATAAAGGAAGTGAATAGATAACCAAGAAGGCAGATAGGCCTCTCAGCACATCAGAACACTATCTTTACTGTGAACCTGAAGAACTCAATTGGAGAAAACAAAAGAATACGATTTTTGTTTTTGCCAGTCCTGGGGTTTGAACTCAGGGCCTGGGCACTGTTCCTGAGCTTCTTTTGCTCAAGGCTAGCACTCTACCTCTTGAGCCACAGATCCACTTGTGGCTTTTTCTGTTACTGAAGAATCAAACCCAGGGCTTCATACACGCTAGGCAAGCACTCTACCACTAAGCCACATTCCCAGCCCAAGAAATACATTTTGATAGAGCAAATTATTGATCATCCCCATCCTGTCCCCTATGCCCACCACCGCCTGCTACAACTCAGGTAATTTATTGTTTACAGGGTAGCTCCTCCATAACTGTAATTTGTTTATTTTGTTTTAGTGTTGCTTTAAAGTTTAAAAGCAGACAAGAACATACCTCGGGGAGAAAGTGTTGTGGTGCTTGGAGCTGTACTCTCTCAGGCACTTTTGGAGTGTTTCTTAGTGAAGGTCATTCTCTTCCCCTGTGCTAACCACAGAATGAAATATTCCTTACTTTCAAGATTAATCCAATGGCCAGCATTCACAGGAGAATAGTGGAGTTATCTGTCAAGTAGCTTTAAATATTTTATGGCAAGTACTGTACTGTAGCCTGAAAGATACCCTCTTGGCCATCAATTTCTCAATGTCAATATTCTCTTTGTCATTTGGAAACCTATTTCCCTTTGCAGATCAAGCCCTATTTCGAATACGAAGATACCTAGTTCTGTTTGAGAAAAGAAAAAAAAGCCCCTGCAGAGGTAACATAAGGAGAACTAGAAGCTAAAAGCTTGCATTCCTGGGAAGGGGAGCAGA